CTTTGCACTCACAGATTTACACTGACCATTTTCCCTCTCATAGGTAAGGAAATCATTTCATACTTTAAGGGACCACAGAGATTGATCCGCCCATCGCCCCATCCATCCACTGAGCTATCTACCCACTTTATGGCTGTATCTGTTTTGGCAGTGGGCACATCTATTTAATATGGCACTATGTGCCAGGTCCTGAGCTCCTTTAAGAGACACAATCACAAATATACAAAGTCCTTGGGCTTCAACTAGGAGAATCTGGTTTGTGGAAGTACAGGAACATTTACTATAGAAGAGACTGGGGGATTCTTGAGGCATGGGACATAAAGAATTTAATAGAAAAGATCTGAGCTGGATTTTAAGAATATATAACAGCTGGCAACGTAGCAGAGGAGCGAACAGTTACCACGGAGGAACTGAATGCAGAGCGTTTGCGGCATACCTAATGTAATGAGAGCACTAATTGCCGTGACAGTAGGATGAGTAGTGTTGTGTCTGTACTTCCGTGAGCATTGGGTCAAAAGTATGGCAAATGCTGTTAGCATTATTTTTTATTAACAACACCAAAATGATGGGAAACATTAGTATCCTGATTTGAAAATCGCTGCCGTTGGCACTGTATCCACACACCCTGATTATTGAGCCCTTCCCAACATGGGTTCCTTCCATGAACATCATCGTGTCCATGGTTTAAAGTGCAGAGGATAGTCTCCTAATGGCCTATAATGAGTGCTGAGCCAAGCGCTGCCCTCCTTTTCTGAGCATGGCCCAGAGGTTAAGTTTGTTTTCTTTCTCCCATTTCAGGACCTTAGCAAAGCCTAGTTGTTCATGGTCCCCAGGAGGGATATTGCTGGGAAATGGGCTCTCGTTGATGCTTGGGACAGGTGCCTTGCTGTGCGAATAACCCTGACAGGAGATGCTTCCCTCGGTCGTGCTAATACTGCAGACCTCTGTGAGTTCTGCAAGGCCCTTTCAGGGGTAGCAGTGTTGTGGTATGGGGTCCGCCCTCCTTGCACTGGAAGATGACACGTTGACTTCTCTCTGAGGTTTGCCTTGCTCAGGACCGAGAGTTGCCTGAAATAAGGCAGGAAATGATATGCATTATCAGGCTGTTTTGTGCCTGTGAACTCTCAGCTCCACAAAAAACAAAGCACCCTGGCCCATCGGCTGTGTTTAAGAGGGCAGTATAAAGACATTTGTGAGGGAACGCAGTCTCAGGAATATCAGGTAAAATGATACAGATGTAAAAGGTGTGCACCATGAAGCTGAGCTAATGGCGTGAGATCAGAGATGCATTAAGTTGAAGAAGAAATTAAGGTCGGTTATCATTAAACCACACTCGGGAGTGGAAGTTTAAGCAGAACAGGAAGAGAAGTGTTGTTTTCTATAGTTGGGAGCCATCAACTGAGAAGTAATGGTCTAGAATTAGGCACTTTCAGGTGAGCCGACAAGCAGGCTGTGAGCAGGAAGTTCCCTGCGTCATTCTAATTGAACTGCTTAAAAATAGGACAACTAAAGTACTGGTGGCATTAACCTTTATAATCAAGCTCTCGAGAAGAGGAGAGTTCACCTCCCAGCAAAGTCCACCATGGCTTCTCCCTGGAAGCCCCCACATGGCAGCATCCCCGGATACAAGTGCTTTCTTGTACTTTCTTTCATGACTGTTGTCTTTAGCTTATATTTCTAATATTTTTCTCTGTGGTTCTTCACTCTCCAAGATTTGAACTATGCAGTTTTACGTACCATAATGCACCCCTATTTGTGTATCCAGACTTAGCTAAGAAATCATTTCTTGCAGAAATGATCCCTAATTATTTGAGAATTCTCTGTGACTCGAAGCTATTGCAGTAAGTCCAAATTACTTCTAAGCATCTATGCTAGTGGGTAATTCATACAAATTGGAGAGCTCTTTGTGCCCCTGTTACCAGCCTCAGCAATTTAAGGAGCCAGGTACTTTCCTTCCTCAGCTACCAAAGCCTTTGGGATCTGTGACTTGATGATCAAGGTAGCCAAACAGGCATTAGATGATGTGGCTACAACCTATTCCTACAGGTGGATATAAGGATCAAGATAGAGAAATAAATCATGTCATCTGACTATAAATTAATATAAAAATGATGTCGGTGCCAACACCTGGGTGTTCTAGATCTTTCAATCTATTACTTTTACTATTTCTGAACAGAGTTTTTTTTTCTGCTTTTAGAGCTATCTAAGATGTTGGGAACCAGCTTTGACAAGTACACCACTTACCAGTAGGGGTATGGGGATTAGAAAATTAGGTAGGAAGAACAGAACTAAGAAGGAATCACAGAGACTATGAAGTTACAGAGACTATGTCGTTACAGTGAATCCTGAAGTCTGCTGCACTTACTTTTCCATACACTTTCATACCCCACTCCAGAAAGAGGAAGAAGACAAAAGACCGCTTTCACATGACACAAAGGACAGCTAGAACAGTTATGTGCTTCAGTACTTGAGACATCAAGTCATTAATTCTTGAGAAAAGCAGTCTGGTGTTTAGGTAGTGAACCCATCCTATAGACCAAGTATCCTGAAGGCAACCACTCTCTAGTTCAAACCTCCTAATTCAAAAGAAGGAGCAGAAGCATGCTTGAATTCTCTGACCTTAGGTCAGGGTGGCGTAGCTCTAACTGTATGGGCCATCTTAATATCCAAAATACCAAATAAGCACACCTAGGTCAGGATGTGTAGCCACACTCGCTCTCAACAACTTTGAGCAACCTCAAACTCTCTGACCTTCAGACAAGGTGGAAATAGGCTCACAGTTTTGGGCCTCCACGCTAAGAGCATAGCTAGGACCTAGGACAAGGGATTTTGTGACCTTAGATGATGGCTTCTGGTTAACTAGATCCTCAAGTACGTGTGGCACTTCGCAAGTTATCCTTGGTTTTCCCAGTAGAACAGACGACACGGGAAGGGCTGGCTTTGTCTGCCGGCTTGTCCTCTTCCCGGAGACTAATACATCCCAAAACTTCATGACCATAACATTTAAGTTTCAGCTTCCACAACTTTATTTGACAGATGGTTTCTGTGATGCCTCTCCATGTTGCCGCAGTTGAATTCCTGGTAGCATTTTGTATGTGCTTGTGCGTGTGTCTCGGTAGATATTTGCACGTGAGCATACACATGTATGTACATCACACTATACCAAAACTGTTATGTTTCACATGTTTGCTCCACCACTCAAATGTCTAAAGCCCTTCTGACTTTGTCGTTATTGTCATCCATTTTCTGGGCCCAGAAGATTTTAAAGAATGCCAATGTGGTTGTGAGACCCACATGTTTTTCCTTTACTTTTGACATAAGAAAAAGATGTGGATTATGGAATAAAACTAAAATGTTAAGCTGAGTGTGTGTGTGTGCGTGTGTGTGTGTGTGTCCATGTATATTTTCTGAGTGTAGTACTTGTGGAACTCATTGACTCCTTGTGTCCATTTTTATACCCTCATCACCATTAGTGAAGGCCTACTGTGGTTAGTAGAGGGAATGGCGACTTATGTAGATGAGGTTCTGGCCATGATGAAGGTGACAGTCTGATGAAAATTAGATTAATTGTATGGTTCTGGGCACTGGTGGGAATCAGCGGGATGCAATGAAGTTGTCAGAGGCATGCCTGAATTGGCCTAGAGAAATTTGTTCATGGCTTCAAGGCGGTGGGTAGAAACTGTTGCCACGGACAGAGCAACCCCTTCACAAAAAGGCCTTCAAGGGTCAAGAAGAGAAAATAGCATCTCTGAGATGCTCCTGTTGGGAGCTGATGCTAAAGAGGTAGGCGAAGCTTGACCACAGGGCGGGAAGTCACGGTACAAATTTGGTTAAGTCTTGATATTTCTCTTGAAGGAAATAACCCTTAAACTAGTTTGAAATAGAGGAAAGAGACATTAAAAATCTCCTTTCAGGAAGGTTGTTCAAGCTGCACTATGAGGAGGAGATTGACAGGATGGTCTGGGCTTGCCAATGGGTAAAATGACTTCTGGAGTTGAGCAGGCTGTGTGAAGCTGGCTTGTGTTCATTCATTAGTTCAGCATTTGAGGGGAGTTTGTCAGCCTTTTAAGCTTCGCTTTTCTAAACTACATAGAGGACATAACAACATCTAAATTAACTCATGTATGCGAACATCCTTCGATAACACTGGTTCCTGCCTCATGCTGCGGGAAAGCTGGTGGCAGCCTCCACAGGGAGCTGGGGAGGGCACAGCTGAAGATGTAAAATTCTTGGGAGACACTGGCAGTAGTTCTTGGTGATTAACAAGCTATAGATCATGTGTGAGGTAGACAGTTTAAGGGTTGAGAATTTTAACAATATTCGGTATGATTAACTATGTTTGAATTTCAAACAGAAACCATTTTGTATGAGTAAATAGTATTTATTTTGCTATGAAATCGTTGTTAAATTAAATTTTTTAACTGGAAGTCCTGCATTTTATCTGGCTTTCTTCCCAAATATCTCCCTAGTACATAGGGTACTTCATGCCTACTTGCTATTTGGGCTTGAGTAGAAGAGGGCCAGTTTGTAGTTGAAAGTTCATTCAAACACGCTTAAATTATTTTTAATTGTGAATTAATTAATTTTAAATGTGCATGAATGTTTTGCCTGTATGTATGCATATACATCATGCAGATGCCTGGTGCCCAGGGAAGCCAGAAGAGGGTTTCAGATCTGCTGGACCTGTCTAAGACAGTTGTGAGTTACTTGTAAGTGCTTGGCATTGAATCCAGGCTTTCTATAGAAGTAGCAAGCATCCTTAATTAACCACTGAGCAATATCCTTAGCTCCCCATACTAAATTTTCATGTAGATGACTTGGTGGTTGTTTTTAGTAGTTTATGTTTATGTTTAATATACGCATTAAGAAGAGTTTTAACCACGATTACATAAGACCCAGGAGTCCCTTGAGAGTCTTTGGGTTTTGAAAGATATCAAAACACTATCCATTTTAGAGAAGACTGAACCAAAAGTGAAAACAATTTTTTTTCTTATTTCTAGGATTTTGCATTTCTCCTGGCCATGCCACTGGCTGCCTGACATGCTTATGCCACACAGTTGGAACAGTGAGCTCTGTCTGCAACAGTGTCACTGGTCAGTGCCCTTGTCGTGACCCTCAGCCACTGGGAAGACATACTACCAGGGTCAAGACCCTTACTTTGGATTTGATCCTGAGACTAGAAGGTAAATCTTTATATGTATGGATAGCAAAACATCGATTTTATTTTTAGTTTTCCTTATCAACAAGAACTTTGGCAGTTTTCTAACAATAACTTCTATAAAAATGTTCTGTTGGTAAGTATATTTTTGATTCCTTGACATCTTACCTACTAAACATAGTAGTTACCACTCCATTCTGTCCTTATGAATTCCCTTGGTACTTTTAGTATGGCCACAACTCTTATCAATGACTGAGAGACATCTACATTGTCTTGTTTTCACTGTGTGTGTGTGTGTGTGTGTGTGTGTGTGTGTGTGTGTGTTCCTGCAGGTGAAAGCTAGAGTCAGCCTTGGCTATTGCTCTAAGGAGCTGGCCTTTATAGTAAAAAATCTCCAACTGGCTGGAACTTGCCTGTTAGTCTAGGATGTTCTAGGAACCTACTGGAACTGGAACTGTGTGTCACCATGCCTGTCTTTTGTGGGGGGCGGGTTCTGATTCTCAAATTCAAGCCCTGATGTTTGCACAGCAAGCATTTAATCCTGGGACTCTCTCCCTTGCCCCAGCATTTTTTTTTTTAATGAAAGACACTATTCTCTTCAGTCTATCATAATCTTCACCCTCGAATGGTCAAGGCTGCTTTTGGTGGGAAAAATCCTGCTCTTTTTCTTTCCCTATTTATATGTATCACACCGCCTACCCCAGCTTATTCCAGGTCTCAGACTGCCTAGAGAGAATGCCGTGTCATTTGTCACTCTGCAGGATGTCTGGCTAACTCCGGATTGGAGTGTCTGGGTCAGAAGGTAGAATGAAGTGTTGGCATCAACTGTGGAGGAGTAGAAGGAGACAAGCAAGACCATAGAGCCTGCAGTATTGGAAGAAGCTGAGGTCACTTAAAATATTGAATTCCTCCACAACTGCCTCCTAGAGCATCCACTAACTTTGAAAGTCACCCATTCTCCTGGCTGGCAATTAGTAAAAGGGAAAAGCTCTTGGCATTTTCAAGCATAGCCATATAACTGGCATTTTCCTAAAATACCCATCAACTACTATCTTGGACTGTGTGATGCATTTTCCATCAGGGTTCTGACCAGAGCACTGGAACGTGAGGCAATGCCTTGGCAAAAACTCCGGACCCAGAATCTGAAATTCCTGTGTGAGGTACGGTTCAGGAGTTGTTCTATATTATATAAACTGTGTCCATAACCTTCATTTTAGGAGATGATAGTCTAACTTCTCCTAAGCCCTCTAGGAACACATCAAAAGAGAATAAATACTGGGGATGTAGCTCAGTGATAGAGCACTTGCTGAAAGTGCATAAGACCTGGAATAGAATCATCAGTACAGAGAGTGGAGTGGAGGAGGAAATACAGAGAATAAGAAAATTAGTACCATAAAAAATTAACACAAAGTGGTCATTCAAATAGAGAGAAATAATAATTTTGTTCAGCAGTGACCTTTGCCTTATGTGACAAGCCCCTGATGCCCTCGTAAGAAATAAAAATTCTATTTGTCATCTGACAAAAACAAACCCACATTGAATGTAGTATTATTAGTGGTCGGTGCAAGGTTGGAGTGTAGAAGACACAAGGAAGAAAAGCTCTAGACAAGGATAGATTTAAAGGAAGATGATTCCTAACAAATTTTATACAAATTTAGTTATATATTTCTGCGTATCAACTGATTCTTCTGATATTGACTCAGAGAAAGAGCAACCTTGATAAAAGTACACATTATTCTCTGACAAGAGCGCATTTCCCCTCCACCCACATTGCTTTCCTACTCATTTGTCTAAGTTTCTTTCACGGAGCACTTGGAGTGTTTCTGTAGTTTGCATCTGAGGCTTGACTGACCTTGGTGCCTTTGAGAGATGGAAGGTGGAACATTTAGCAGTTAGGGCCCCCCATGGGAGGTCATAATTCCAGTGGGGGGATGTCCTTGAGGGAGATGGTGGAACCTCAGCCCTCCATATTTGTTTTTTTTTTTTTCATTTCCTATATGTGAGGTAAGTGTTTTGTTGCCTCACACTCCGTTGCCATGGTGTATCAGGCTGATGATGTGCCACCACGGGCACCATAGGCAATGGAAAGTCACCTTTGAAGCCTGAGCTCGGCTAAACGGTCTTTGCCTGTAATTGTCTGGGGCGCTTGCTATGGTGGTGAGAAGCAAATGCACAGACAGTGCATTTCTCTCTGTTCATCTCGAGTGCCATCATTATTCTAAATATTAAAATTTGCACACCTACTGAAGTTCTTCCGTATCTAGTCTTGGCCCTCTCTATGTCGCAGATCGTCCTGATCCCAGAAATGCTGTGCTGTGTATGGATGACATTGTTCCCACTCTGCCATCCCAGAATCCCCACTTAAATTACTTGTACTTCCTGCTCACTCAGTTAATATTATTTCCTTCTTGGGTCTCTGAGAGAGTGGAAGACAAGATAGTTATAGTTTTCCTCGTTTATCAGAGTCAGAAAAGAAATTCACGAAGGAAATATAAAGTGTATAAGGTCGAGAGACATACAGAAATAATTTAGGGTTGATGATGAAAGTGAGAAGAAGAAGTGAACTAGCTACAACACTCTGGACTCACCAAGATAAATGGATAATGGAGTAATTTCCTTGGATTTGTCAAATGTGAATGTTGATGTACTTATTGCATGTATATATTGTATATAGTTATTGTACTTATTGTTTTTCTTATATTAGTTATATCCTATTTTTTAAACAAAAAAAGGGGAAATGTAGTGATATTTTATTTGTGATCTAACCAATAAAGCTTGCCTAAAGATCAGAGTGTGGAGCTAGCCAGACTAGTTAGCCAGAGAGGCCAGGCAGTGGTGGCACACACCTTTAATCCCAGCACTTGGGAGACAGAGACAGATGGATCTCTGTGAGTTCAAGGCTACGCCGGGATACATGAGACTAAATAAGTCTAAAAGAGACACAGAGCCAATTGGTGGTGTCTCACGCCTTTAATCCCAACACTAGGAGGATGGAGATGGGAGGTGATATAGCTGGGCAGAAAGAGAAGGCAGGAACTCAGGGTTCATTGTGAGGTTTCATAGAGACTGCATTATATCTGAAGACTGGGAGAGACAGGATACCCATTTGGTCTGAGAGTTTTGTTGAGATGAGAGCTAGTGACTGGCTGCTCTACTTCTCTGACCATTTAGCTCTCACACTCTTAATATTTGACTCCAGATTTTTATTAATAAGACCTATTAGAATTCACACTACTCTTAACCTGTGCTTAGGTGTCGTTTAATTTTTGTGCTGGTATCCTTGTCCACTCCTACATTGAACAACTATTCCCATCTTCATGGAACAAAGTCAATTTTGTTTGCTGTTAAGCTCCCTCCCTTCCATAGGGCTGTCGTTCAGGCTTCGAGATTGTCCCCTTGCTGCTGCCCTGGGCTGGACGGATGGAGGGTGAGCTTGTGCTGGCTGGACCTGCAGCCTTGCATCTCACCTGTGCTTCTCACAAGCCTGATCTCCTGCGCTGCAGATGGTAGCTTCAGCTTCCTGATCTGCTACTTGAAGATTCTCCAGCTCTCCACTCTGCAGATGAAATGGCAGCATAAACAGATGATTCCAGATTGTGGCTCCCCCTCCAATCTGTCTGCCTTTCTATACATTCTTAATTTTTGTTTAGTCATAGAGAAAAACAACATTTTTAATGGCCTATTTTGAGTGTGATCCCTTCCGGAGTTTTGTTTTTGTTCCTTTCTTACCTTCTTGTCTTCATCCCCCGTCCTTCCTTCTGAACTTCATTATATTTTAGCTCTAGCTTGGCCACTGCCTCTTCACTGGATAAAACTGCACATAGAGATGCTGTCGTCTCCTCACTGCTGGCTCCGTCCCGCTGCTTCACCCTGCTCTATAGGGTTTGAGCATTATCGTTTGATTTCTCACTCTTCTGCTTGTTTATGCTTAAGAACGTCTTTCTTGCTTCTTCCTATTCATGTCTTCCCATCCATTTCTCAGCCCCCATACTTTGTGCATACAGTAGTCAAACCCACATAATCCAGACAGTCAAGAGCGAACAGTCTTTTTTTTTTTTTGTAGTATAAGGGTGTAACATAAGGTTTTCTGTGTGTTAAGCATGTGCCCTACCACTGAGTGACATTCATAGTCCCCTAAATGACTCTTGGAATTCTCATCTCTATCAAAGACAATGTATATAACAAAATAGACTAGCTAAACAAATGTTAAAGAAAGATAACTAGAGAAGAGGGTTGCCCCGGAGGGGACGACAGAAAGGTCTGTGATGTCTTACACATTAGCAGGATCTAAGGGACCTGTTGAAGGGGAACATGGAGACTGGTGCACTGATGCGTACTTTCAGCCGAGCAAATCTGAATGGGCACAGCAGTCTGGCCAACATTAGCTAGACCACGTGAAGCATTCCTCTGCGACCTGACATGAGCTTGGGGGTCTGATTAAGATGAGAAAGAAGGGAAATGGAGTGAGCTCTGTGAAGAGCAGCCTGCACAAGCCTGAAAAGTCCCAGATGGAGGAGTCGGACAAGATTCTGTGGGCTACAGAGAGAAAAAGAAAGTTGTTGGAATAGAGGCAATGCTGAGATACTTGGAACTATTAGGAAGAAAGACACCCTGGAAGGATAGAGCTCATAGCAGGAAGCCAGAAAGTGTTCCCCCAAATGCAAGGTCAACTCTGAGCACAAGGGAGACCAAAGACAGCATCCTGACAGGATGGCTCGAAACACAGGGGAGGTCAGAGAATGTAGGCTGCTGAGGGCTGGGCCAAGCTAGTGAGTACCAGCACCGTGTGAGATTGACTGTGTGTGAGAAAAGAGGTAAGTACCAGATGAGAGGGGAAACCAGAGAAGCCTTGCTTGAAGAATCCCTGTCATTATCATGTCTGAACTAGAAGAAGAGATCTGAGAAAAAAAATGTTTTTTTGGATTCTTTTATGCCTAATTTGAAACTTGGCCTGATATACAGCACTAGAAATTCTATTTCTAGTGTTATACAATTTTCAAAACTGAAACTCCAGGGTGTTGTATT